TCTTCTTAAGTTCGATCCTTTACTGAATCCATCGAAGCATTACCATTCCGAGAGGCTGAAGTGCTGTAAGGGAGAACAAAAAGATTTTGGTAGAGCAAACAATTTTGACTGACTCACTATCTAACTAACTGACTAAATAACTACAGTAACTCCATAGAGCTGAGTCCCTTAACCAACAGTTGCTCAACTACTCGAGAATTTCACTTTATGTAACCTAAACGTTTATTACATAATCCAGCCACTGGTCCCTATCCTCACCCAGATTAGTTCATACCAACTTTCCATAATATTTCTCTAAGATCCATGTTAAAATTTTTCTCATCTACATCTAGATCTTCCAAGTTTGCTCTTTACTTTTGGTTTTCCACCAAAATTTTGTATACGTTTCTATTAGCTCCCGCGCGTGTTATGTATCCTGCGCATCCCAACCTCTTTGACTTGTTCCCTCTCATTATAACTGACTAGGAGTACAATCACTTCTTCTTCAGCAATGCATATTTATATGTATTATATGCAGAACCTGCAAATTCACATAGGTGGAAATATTAATTACAAGTCACAACACATCCTCACGACTTGCACAGTCTGTACGGAATGAATCGGGTGCGCTGATCTCAAAGAGAAAAGCAGAGATTGTAACACTCACGGCTTTTCGTTATCTTCCATGACTTTATGCGTGACACGTGAAGATATTTGTCCTTTTTCTGCAACCTTCCTGCTCTTCCTTTGTGAAAGACAGACACCGGAACTCAATAAGGATGTGTTAAGGACGTATTAGTAAGATCTGTATAATCGAGGAGGTGAACACGTCTTCTGATCTGGGGGCCTTCGTCTTCTTTTGCGATCGGTATTCTCTTAGCCAGTCGTCACTATCATTGGAGGAATTTCAAAAAGAGGACATGAATATCATTTTGGAACTTTTAGAGGAGAGGTACAGCAGAAAATAATAGCAACAGTTACCAAAATAAACGGTTATCTGTCGATATCCCCATTCAGAATTTCCGGAGACGTAGCAAGCTCGGCGCTGCAGTTGCGTGGCAAGCAGACGAGGACGAGCGTGTAATCAAGTGAGACACAAATGTGGGGAATTGTAATATTATTTGCTGGAAGTTGGCAACTTGCTTATGTTGGTTGCATCCGATTGGAACCAATGCTGGCCAACATGTACAGTTGACCAACAGAGAAAATTTCAGCTGCACTGTTCGTCACTTTTCCTTGCTTGTCTCATGTTTCCTTACTCTTTGACCCTGAAAATGGCACCAGTATGTTCTTCCGAACCCCCAGTAAACTCTATGGAACTACAAAAAATTACTGCCCCGGGGATGCTACTGTTCACACTCACCTGTCTGAGAACCTCAAATGCAACACGTGGTACCAAAATGGTGACCAGTAAGAAAGCATCTGCCGGTACTCTAAGAATAGTTCGTGGTTAATTAATACAGTATTTACTTAGTTATGCGTAAATATCACGGGACCTATACTGTTAGCTTTAATGAAGAGGGTGAGTACACCATAGGCGATGGTCAGCGGGGAGAATGGAACGATATATTTCACCCCACTTTTACGAGATAACTTTTATGCCGGACCTTTAACACTCCAGGAGCATAAAAAGTCTTGCGCTGCCGCGTATATACCCCAGTAGCTACACACACACACACACACACACACACATATATATATATATATAATACTCACAGAGATATTGGGTTTTCGGACTTTATCCATCGCCCTGATTTTTAAGATAACT